ATAGCCCAGCCACCATAGCTGGTGGGCTTGGACTACAGTGAAGCGCAGGGGTGGTCTTCGGGTGACAGAGAGGACAGGTGTGGGAAGTCAGGGGATAGGTGTGGGAAGTCAGGGGATAGGTGAAGGATGATGATGATGATGATGATGTGAGGGCACGTACCTTGTATTGGCGATGGTCTGCATGAGCGGCATCTTCAAGTACTTCGGACTGCTGCTGATGTCAACAGTTGCATTGTCTTTTTGTAGGCTGTAGTAGCTGTGTAGGATTAGGCTGGCCGCTGAGCGCCAAGTGTGAGTGTAAGGGAACTGGACTCGTGTGTTGACAGGAGAGAGTGTGCTCTCCACGGACATTGGTTTTCAGTACTACAAAACTCCATCGGTGTATTATTGGTGCAATGCTGCTATCTGGACACGGTGTGACTATATGGCTTGCAATGTGATGGTGTGATCTGGGTTTGTCATCTCGCTATTGCTTATTTTCCTTGCACATGTTTTTCCGTCGAACGGGTTTGGCTGGCAGATTCCCTGTTCTGAGTTCACGGATGGGAACATGGTCAAAACCTCTGACCGTCGAATTTGAGGTGCATCAACGACGATGAAATGTCACCACAGGCCACACATGATAGAAAAGCCCACAATGACGTAATATACTTGGCTAGTGGGTCAAGGCCCCAGTGATCTACTCAGTTCTACTGAACAGCCCTCTTTGACGGCATACTCACACCTGCACACAGACAAATGTACCTAACTAATTTCAGAGCCAAATTTGTGTTTCTTTCTTTTTTTCTTCTTTGAGTTTCGTTTCTTTGTTTTTTTTGGTTTTTTTTTCAGATGCTATGTTCTTCTCTCAATTTCACCTCACACTATAGGCATACGGGGAACCCCGTAGCAGCCAGAACCGTGTTCACAAGAGAACATGCGGGGGCTGCTCCCAACCTGCAGGTGGGCGATACCGGGGACCATGCCAACAGGACCAATCCCTGTGCCTCCCCTCAGGTGGTGGTCCTCTCCCCTACGAACATCAACAGACAAGGGGGATCCAGTGGTCTATCTCTAGGTGGCGGGCGTTTGTTTTTTTTCCCTTTATTTACTCTTGGATTCTGACAAAAACGCCACAGGGTTGATACACCCAAACTGTGACGTGCTCACACTAGCACTCGGGAGACTGCATCCAACTGCATTCACGTCCCCAGCGTTGTTTTTTTTTGTTTTTTTTTTTGCCGTTTTTGTTTTCCAACTGGTCCCCCCAGCCTCGGCCCGTCCAGCTACTGGTACTGCCAGGCTTGGCAGGCTCGACATACGGGTCGCTGGAGGACTTGATAGCTGGGCCAAGTACTGGTTGTTTAATATGCTTGTGCCAAGTTGTCTGTTGCTTCATCTCATCTAGTCCTTGAACCGCGGATCAGATATTAGCCGATCAGAACGTCTTGTTTTTTCTTTTTTCCGCAGAACACTTCTTTTTATCACCCGAATACAACCCACCGTTATGATAGCTGAATTTGGGGTATCTTTCAGTCTAAATACGGTTATAATGACCGCATGTCTGCAGCTTAAAAAGGAGACTTAGCTATTCATGGTCTCGCCAGGCATCCTGCATAGTCAATCCTTTGGGCTTCCAGGGTGATCAATGCTGGCAGCCAGAGGAGACAGCTGCCGCAACACAGACTGTTAGCAGGATTGAGAGCATCAGTTGTGGCGTAGAGACACTACGCGACGCAGAGCCATAGCCGAGAACTGAGCACACACATCCACACTTGAAAAAGACTTCTTCCAAAAATTCTTCCTTCCCGAGAGTTCACAAAAAACAAATCCATATGCACCGACTCTCGTACGAGAGGATCATGAAAAACCCTTGTAGCAACACCTCTCCAGGCGGAATACCTCTACGCGTTTCGCTAGAGCCGCCCTCCCTACGCTCATCAGGAGGTTTCGGAAGATACTGAAAGAGTAACACCTCTCCAGGTAATCAATGCTGGCAGTCAACTGCAAGAGTTCAATACGGAGGTGAGTTTGTACAAGGGACGCTGGACCGGATTTCAACCAGGTGCTGCTCCCCACCAATAGATGGAGCCCCCCCCCTGTGGTGCTAGAGGTGACTGCTCGTATCAGCACCCCTAGCACCCAGACGGGTGTTTAAAAAAAAAAAAAAAAAAAAAAAAAAAAAAAAAAAAAACACGTTGTATTCGGGGGAAGACGGTATCCAAAAGGCCGAGAAAACGACCCGCCAGCGAGTGTGACCAACAGGAGAAGTGGAGGACAAGGTCCGGAAAAAAACCCCTCTTTCTTCGTCTCCATAGCCCATACCTTTTTTTTTTTCTTCGGAAAGTCATACTTTGTATTGCATCAAACATAGGAGAGGCTGGGGACCTCACAATTAAACCCAGATTGAAACCTGGGGCCAGGGGTACTGGACAGGAGTCCTGACGGGAACAAT